AAACCCTGTCTCAAAAACGCCAAATAAAAACACCTGAAATCACTTATCATGACAGATACCTGAGGGACCTTTGCCAAGGGTCTTATGGACCTTTCTACTTGCCATAGGGTTTGGCTTCACCATCAGAGACTTATTCCCTGCCCTGTTTTTGTCCATCTTTCCTGGAGGGCAGGAACTCTTCTGACTGCTTCTGGAAACTGCCTGGGCATTTATTAAAGATAATAATATAAACAAGCCCTACTATAACTTTCTTATAAGGACATAGATGGGCTTACTGGAGGGAGTGTCCGTGTCCCATGACCTGAGATCCCTTGTAAGAAAGGTTGATTCTTAATAAATGTTCTTGGAAAAAAAAATAAATAAAAATAAATGTTTCTGGGTTTGCAGTAGGACAGCCACAGAGGGGTCAGCAAGTAGGGCCTTGACTAAAAGACTTCCTTGAAGACATGTAGAAGTGAGTCTAATGGAAGGGCCACCAAGCAAGCTTTCCTTCCCCTTGGCCTGTTCAGAGCCATATGTGAACCTCTGTTGCCTAGGGTAGGACACAGGGCTTGTACAAGGACACCTGGGCCTATTCTCCACCCTGCCTCCCCACAGAATAGAGAGGTAGGTGACATTCCATGGGAATTGTGATTTAGTGAGGAGGATCACAGTAGGATTCTGGTAGAGTTGTCTGTAGTTTATTTTATTTTATTTTATTTTATTATTTTATTTTATTTTAAGGGAAGGGTCTACAGGGTGTTCAGGGGCTCACTACCAGATCAGACTTGTAGTGATCTGTCTGTTTACAGCCTCCCAAAAACTGGGATTACAGGCGTGCGCCACCATGCCCAGTCTCAATCTCTGTCTCAGTGTGCCCTGGGGCAGGGCCAGCACGGCAGGCCCGGGGATCAAACCCCAGGCTCCTGCGCCTGCTTGCAGGTGCTTTAAGCCACTAAGTTATTTGGCTGGCCCTCTGTAGTTTTTTAGAAATAATTTGTGTGCTGTCTCCTGCAAAGAGAGATCGTCAGGACAAGTCTCACAGTCTTCTCTGAGCCAGGCACTGAGGTGGGTTTGCATTAGACTAAAGGAGACAGAATGCCTGCATGTATGAGTGAGAAAGACAGAGCCAGCCCAGAGGCCTGCTTCAGGGAGTACACAGGCGGGTAAGGAGAACAGCATGTTTTGACTGGGATGCTTACAACCTGGAGAAACTATGGCTTCAAAAATTTTTTCCTTGTCATCACAAGCCTTCAGATGCATGTAACTCTAATAGTAGTGGGGCTTAATTAGCATTCTCAGGAGCAATGCATGGGCGGTGGGGTTAGGTTGGTGATAAATATTTCTGATGATTTTTACTGGCTCTTTTTCATATAATGCAAGTAAAGATTTGCATATTGCAACAGGAAGGAAATTGGGCCAGCACAGTATGGAGCAAATTTTGTATCTTCTAGCCATATTCCATTTTCTTGCTCCAGCAAGGGCCATGACAGTTAAAGATTCCAGCACACAAAGGAGTTTGTTTAGCCACTTTAGGTAGGCTCATGAGCAGGGCAAAGGTCAGGTCTCTTGCTTGTGGCCTCATGCCAGATTGAGGTTGGCTTGGGGAGGTTCCTGATTTCCTATATCAGTGGAGGTGCCAACATACTTTAGAAAGGAGGGAAAGCTTTTGCTTCTTTAGGCGTCTTTCCTTTTGTCTCTCAAGTTTTGCTTTTCTTTCCCTGTGGTGTCAATTTTCTGATTTGTTTCTCATTGGCAGGTAGAACAGGCCTTAGTAGCATGATAGAAAAAGGGACATGATGGTAAAAAGAAGAGTTTAGGGAGCTCTGCAGATAGAAGCCTGTTTTCCCAGCCTCTCTGAAATAGTCCAAAGAACAATGTCACCCAAAACTGTTCTCAGCTATCTTTACTTATTTTCATCTGCCTTTGCTCTCTTTGTCTCCTTTTTTTTTTTTTTTTCAAAGTTTGTCATTCTACTTTAGCCCCAGAGACATCAATATTTTTGGATCCTGTGTCTCTCTGTGACAGCTGTCACACTGAAGTCATCATCCCAGAGTGAATGGACTATGTGGGGCAGCAGAAAGTCGGAATTTGATCCAACTAACCTTAGGGGGTGACTTTGCCAAAGTGAAGAGGAGACAGCTTCAACTACTGAAGCTTGGGGAACTGGAAAACTCCTGTAGGATTGCAAATCTATCCTGTCCCTGGTCAGGCAGCAGTTGGACCCAGGAGGAAATGGTACTAGTAACACCACAAAGATGGTCGGCTCAAACTGGGAGATTTGTTTTTTCACTGTCATAAAGTTCAGGGAAGTGCAGTGCATTCTACCAAATAAACATAGCTCATAACCCTTACAGCAGGGCAAACTGAATGCAACCTCAGCACCCTCCCTTTAAAGTAACATTAAGCAGTAATTTAGGTCAGGAGCCTAACTAATGATGGTGATACAGGAGCTGTAGTCTAATATCTTTCTGGGGTGCTATTAAGCCTGGTTGTTGGTAGATCCCCTAAGAAGTACAGGTGAGGGAAATGCTCAGAGCAGCATAGAGAACCAAACTTATCAGACCATAGGGTGATGAGACAAGGCAGACAAGGTCCCACTATGAAAACGCCAGGCCAAGTTAAGAAGGAGAAAATGACATGTCAGATGGTAACCATGGGAGGCTGAATTAGCCCCAGACAACTAGAGTTCCTGGGTTGAATGCCAGGGATGGAAGTAGACAGCACAGGTGTGTTCCTGGGGATATTCCTTAGAAAAAATGGAACTATATTAGTTGGAAAGAGAAAAAGTACCACTTACCTACATTTCCAGGTCCCTGTGGGTCCACTATGCTATGCTCTTTGTCACCAAGGCAGCAAAGACTCTGGAGGTCTGCTTACAGCCAGGAATCCACTCTGAGGAAGGCAACTCCCCAGGCCCACTGGCTGGGTAAGGCTAATTATCTCCCCAGGATCCAGGGGCAAAGTGATTAGAATCTGTGGAAAGCTACAACTCCTACAGCTTCAAAGAAAAGAAAAACAATAAACATCCCTTTTCCTTTCCATGTAGTCCAACCCAGACCAAGTGGTAGCAGCATTTATGAAGCCTGAACAGCCTAAGTTGGGACAAATTTGGCCTACCCATAGTGCTTGTGTTTTCTTCCTCAGGAAGAAAAGTATAGCAAACAAACAATCACCCCCACCCCACAAATTCCAGGCGCCAACTAGAGAGAAAACATTAATAAGGGTTATCATGTGTGTGCCAAGGATTTGTCAATTTTTTTTTAAGATTTCTAATCTTTAATTTTTTTTTTTCAGAACCAGGCATTGAACTCAGGCCTTTGCACTTGCCAGGCAAGTGCTTATTCTACTGAGCCATCTTCCCAGCCCCCAAATTTGTCAAATCACCCACTCTATTCTTACAATTGCCCCTTATCTGAGGGATCACTAATATCTTGATTCTGTACACTAGGAAATGGGAGGCAAGGTGATCCTAAGATCCTATATGGGGAGTGGCAGGGCTGAGATGTGGAGTCTTGAGAAATCTAAATATACACATGGAGTTACCAGACATGAAGCTGAATCAATAACCTTCGGGTTGAAGAAAATACATCAAGGATCCTCAATGCAGGGAGAGTAGCTCCACTGAGGTCATCTGAAGGGTGACCCATGAAGTCAGGAAAACACCAAGAAGTTGGGATTCTGCATTGCTTTTTTCTCTTGCCTGATTCATCCCAGAGTTTGGGAGGAGCAGATCAGAACACTTAGGGAAAGGGCTTGGTTCTCCTCCCCAGAACTAACAGCAACTAGACTGTCTTCTAGGGTGGCCATCACCACTCACTGGGATTCCTAGATTATTACAAGTGACATTAGAAATGCTGACATCTTGAGACTGGGTGTGGTGACATGCACCTGTAATCCCAGCACTTGGGAGGCTGAAAACAGGAGGATCACTACGAGTCTGATCTATATAGCGAGACCCTGTAGACCTTGTACTAAATACATTTTTTTAAAAAAGAATTAAGTGAGTTTGTAAAATGGGTCCAAACTACTTAAGTTTTCTACACAGCCACAATACATGAAGCCACAAATGATTTGGAATATTTTTGAGGTACCATGGATGGAACTCAGGAGCTTGTGCTTGCTAGGCAGATGCTTAAACCTGTTGAACTATTTCCCCAGCCCTATTATTTGGTTCTTTTAGGAAATTTTCTCCTTCAAAAAAAGTGTCTGAGGCTTCTTTGAGACACAGATGATCCTGGGTAGTGTACATTGGACTGTAAACATGGAGAGGAAACCCTTGGTCCTTCCTCTGCATAAATCCTGGGGTCACAGCTCCAGGCCTCTGTGAAACATCAACCCTTTTCCTCATTTCCAAGGTCACTGCCCCAGGCTTGCAGAGGAGGTCTTCCAGCTTGTTTTAGGCCAGTCTCGACAAACCATCTTTTCCAAGGGTGTTTCCTGAAATTCCAGTTCTGTGGTACTGGCCTGAGCTCATGCCATCTGGATGGTCTTTGAAAGCTTTGCAGTCCAGCCCCACGCTCTCCTTCCTTCTTCGACCACATATTTCTCAACATTCCCTTGTCCAATTACTTTTTAACTCCTAACCACCCTTTGGGGCCTGTCCTCATGACAGGCCCACTCCTTGCGGCACTCGGGTTACCACGCAAGACCCCACGACAAAGTGGTCACTGACTACAAGCAGGGAACAGTGGTAAGCGCCACAGGGATGCATTGCCAGTAGCTTTCCAATCGGGCTTTGAGGGATGCTGCCGCCCTCTGTGGAGGGCGCATGCGCAACTCCGCGGTGGCTTGCGGCGAGTTGGTGTTGGCTCGTGCACTCGAGTCTGCGCGGGCTGGCGAGGGCGCGCGCAAGGGGCGTGCGCAGGAACAGGGCGCTCAGGAGGCGCATGCGCAGCAGCGGACGGCGGCGCGAGCCGAGTAGGGAGATGGCGGCGGCGGCGCTGAGAGTGTGAGCACCGCCCGGGAGCCGCCGGCCCGGGCGCACTTCGACCCCGACCCCGCCCTCCCGTTTGCCCACCATGGGCAACGAGGCCAGCCTGGAGGGCGGCGCTGGGGACGGGCCACTGCCACCCGGAGGCGTGGGGCCCAGCGCCGGGAAGCCTCCTTCAGCACCCGCCGGTGGCGGACAGCTCCCGGCGGCAGCCCTGACACGGCCCACAGCGGGACAGCCAGGCCCCGGCCCAGGCACCGGCCCCGGCCCTGGTCCTGGCCCAGGCCAGGGCCCAGACAGGTAAGCGCGCATCCCAGCGCCAGGGCGGGGGCTGAGCCTGAGGCGGGGGTCAGGGCCCAGGGTCTGGTGCACAGCGAGGTGCGACGTCGGGCGGTATTTAGCCTTGTAAGGTTGGCAGGAGCCCCGTGGTCTTGGGAAGTGACCCTTCGTTTCCAGCCTCTCGGCTTATGAAGGTAGGGTGGCGAGCTGGGTGTCAGACGGGGCCTGCAGACCAAACCATGACTCCATCACGAACCCCAAATTCTCTCTCCCCTATCGCTGGGGCCCAACCTCTCCGGAGGGGCTTATGTAACCTTAGCCTAGGCCCTCTGCACAGGGGCGCAATGGGATGGAAAGGTCCTTGGTCAGCCAGTGCCTGCATGTGTCCATTGTGCTGGGCTGAGGAAGAACACAATGGGAGTGGCTGTCAAGGAAGATAAGTGTCACTGCCAGGAACAGGGAGATCAGGGAAGAGTTGAACTATGCACTTGGTCTTATGCTTTCCTCAGGCATTTAGTGGTCGTGACCATCTTTGGGAAGAGGAGAATTGCCCACTGGACCCTAGTGAGCACAATACTGACAGGAGTTGGGTGCAAGCCTGTAATCCCAGCACTCAGGAGGCTGAGACAGGAGATTGCTGTGAGCTCAAGACCACCAGCCTGCACTACATAGTGAGACCATGTCTCAAACGAAAACCAAAATCAAAACAAAACAAACAAACAAACAACCCAACACTGACAGTCATGTGCTTTTACCAAAGCTTACTGAAATACTTTCTGGTGAAGCAAAAATGCTATTATCTAGTACTATATATGTTCTTGTTGCCCACTGATTTAAGTTACTACCTCAAACCAGTGGAAAGCTGAAACCTATGTAGAATTCTTTAAACAGAACATATCTGATCAAATACCGTGAGACCAGCATGTTTTAAATGATTGCCAACCGAGGTTCTACAAAAACAATCAAGTTGCAGTGAATACTGTGGAGGGGAATTGGTAATATAAGTTAGAGACTAAAAAGTCAGGAAAATTACCAAGAGATGACATGAGAAAATGGAAGGCAGTATTTTTGTAGCAGGTAGACCTGGGAAGTAGCAACCCCACCGTGGCTGGGGGAGCTTTCGGCTCCATATGAAGCTGATATATGTTTCTTTGCCTTTTCTGTGTGGGAGCACATAAACTCCAAGAGATATAATTTTGCTTCTTCAGCTGTCCACCTGTGCCTATTGTGTGTGTGTGTTTTTTTCTCTGAAGTCATTTCTTGAACAACTTGGGTGCAAGTTGACAAAGGACTATTATTTTATATTTTGGTTTTTTGAGACAGGGTCTTAGTGTGTAGCTGGCTTTGAATTCACTATACAGTTTAGGCTGGCCTTGAACTTATGATGATCCTCTTGCCTCAGGATCCCAAGTGCTGGGATTACAGGTGTGCACCACCACACCCAGCTTAACAGAAGGCTTTTAATATCCTGAAACATGTCACAAACAAGATAGTCTGTGCATATCTCCTGCACATGGTTTTAATTGCTGCAAATGTCCATTCCTTTTTTTTTTTTTTTTCTATATTTAGGACAGGGTCTACAGGGTGTACAGGTTCTCACTACACAGATTGGACTCGTAGTAATCCTGTTTTCAGCCTCCTAAATGTTGGGATTACAGGCAGGCACCACTACACCCAGTCTCAACAGTCATTTCAATGTGTCCCGCGGGCGGGGCCAGCACAGCACACCAGAGATCAAACCCTGGCCCATGCACCAGCCCAGCAGGCACTTTAGTCTGCTGAACTATCAGGCCAGCCCCCTTTTTTCTTCTTTTAAATGTACTTTGGTACTTGGTCTCACTATGCAGTTCAGACTCATAGTGATCCTCCTGTTTTCAGCCTCCCCAGAACTAAGATTACAGATGTGCATCACCATGCCAGGTCTAGGTGGCTGGCTCAGCATGCCCGGGGGTGGGGTGGGCACGGCACATGGTGCTGGCGATAGAACCCTGGTCCCTGTGCTTGCCTAAGCAGGTGCTTAGTCTGCTGAGCTATCTTGCCAGCCCAAATCCTGTCCAACTTGCTGTGCATTACTTGGGTTTAACTTGAAAGAACCTCATTCAGGCTTCAGTGATCTTCATCCAAGGGAAAGCTTCCATACCTGAATGGAAAAACACCTTGTTATTGGGAACTTTCTGTATGGGAAATTTGCTATGGGAATTTTGCTCCTGATAACTAAACAGGCTTCTCTGCTTATAGTTTATCTGATGCTCAAGAGCCAAGCATATGAAATTTTGGAAAGACTTGGGCAGCTAAGAGGAACAGGAAGGTGAACTGCATAGTGAGCACTGTTCATATTCCTTTTTAGTGTTTCATTTCTACTCCATCTAGGGGAGCAGAACCAGGGGCTGCTACTGCATTTAGCAGCCACATATTTGGCTGTGGGCAAGGCTTACACATAGGCCTATGGTGTTGAAGTCCTATGATCATCAGGTTTAGGTGGTCAGCTGGCTCTTTGTCACCAAAACTCAAGAGTGGGCTTATCATAGCACCACAGATGAGCAGAAAGATGCATGGTCTGCCTCTCCTTCACCACCAGAATGGCTTCTACTTCCTCTCTGAGAGTCTCAGGTACCTGATGCTAAATTTAGCATGTTGTGTTCTGAGGTGCTGCTGAATAGATTGGTCCATCGATGGAGAAGAGACCCTGTGGCATGTGCCTGTGAGCATTCAAGATAAAACATCAGCAAGGGATATATCTGTTTCCAGCAAGAGTGTGAATTTTAGAGCAGTTAGGAGTCTCAGAAGTGGGTAGAGTGTGAGATAAAAGAGTGGTCATTTTTCTAACTCCAGAATGGAATAAAACTGGAATTCTAGGAGCATTCCTGTTGCTATATTCCTGTTGCTAATTCTAGGAGCATTCCTCTTGTCACCCCAAGATAAATTAATATTCCCATCCTTGTGTGGTGCTGCATTGGGTTCTGTGAGAGGTGGCTACAGAGCCTGACTTGAGCTCTATAAGTAGTGCTGACATATCCATGGTGCTACCTCTTAATCCATTGGAATGATAGGGTGCTTTGGGTACCAGAGAGTTCCTTAAGGAAGGGTTTTGGATCTGGGTCACTACATACAGTTACATAGGCTATCTTTGTTAAGGAGTACCATATTGAGAGAAGGCTGCACTCTGCTTGGGGGTCACTTTCTAAATTGGTATGGTTAGCACCTAGTAGAAGAAGACATCATCATTCATTCACTTATGGAGATGTGCCTAATGTAAAAGTGGACTATGTAAGTTGATGAGATACATTCTCCTACACACACACACACACACACACACACACACACACACACACATATATATCCATGATACCCTGCCAGATTAAGAATGAAATTTATCGGGGCTGGGGAAATGGCTCAGTGGAATAAGTGCTTTCCTGTCAGGTGTAAGTGCCTGAATTCAATCCCCAGCTCTGAAAAGAAAGAAAGAAAGAAAGAAAGAAAGAAAGAAAGAAAGAAAGAAAGAAAGAGAGAGAAAGAAAGAAAGAAACTTAAACTTATCAGTACTCCCAAAAGTACCTTGTAAAAAATTTCATGAGTGAGCCATAGAGACCAGTGGCAGCCTTTCTCATCTACACTAGCCCTGGGGGTTTGCATATCTTTTTTTTTTAATATTTATTTATTTATTTTATTTATTACATTTATTTATTGTGTGTGTGTGTGGCCAGCTCAGCCCACCAGGGGGCGGGGCTGACTGGCATGTGGTGCTGGGGGATTGAACCGCGGTCCCTGTGCTTTGCCAAGCTTGTTTCAAGTAGGTGCTTTAGACCACTGAGCCATCTCTCCAGCCCTTGCATATCTTTTAACATTTGCAAGTTGATCTTCAGTCAGTTAGCTAAGATACATTTCCCAGTATCAAGAGCAAGCATTGGCTGTGGCTTCATGAGTGTGTAGAAATGTATGTGGTATTATCCTCCACCGTTCATACTCTCTCCCATACTAGGGTTTGAACCCAGCGGACATTACCCATTGAAGTGCACACCTATCCCTTTTTGTCTATAGATGGAGTCTCACTAAGTTGCCCAGGCTGGCTTAGAACTTGTGATCTTCTGATCTGCTGTCAGATTCCTGAGTCAGCCTCTTTAGTAGCTGAGCTTGGCCACTGTGCCAAGCTCAGATATCTTTTTTTTTTTTTTTTTTGGAACCGGGGATTGAACTCAGGCCCCTGTGTTTGCCAGGCAAGCGCTTATTCTACTGAGCCATCTCCCCAGCCTCAGATATCTTTTAAAGAGCCAAATCATGGAAAAACCCTAGAAGAGATACTGTGGGCAGCTTAGTGTCTGAGACAGCTCAAATAAGCATTGTTTACAGAGGGATTGTCAAGTGGGAAGAGTGGAGAGACAAGCCTAAGCTTCAGGAGGAGAGACCCAAGGGATCCTGGAAAAAATGGTAGGGTTAGGAGGGGTAGAAATAGCATGAAGATTGTAGTCTACACTGGCAAGGACAGTATAGAGAATGAGGCTGAGTTCAGGGGCCTGGGAGAGAGCTGGGGACAAAGCTAGGTGAGATATTTCTCACCATCCAAATCTGTGATCTGTTCAGTTATCTGTACCTAGCAAAGGAAATGACAGTTCAGTGATTAGGAGGTACAAAGAGGCTGTATATATGTATATGTGTATAAAGTTTTAATTTATTATTTTTTTAATTATGGAAAATTTAAAACATATATAAAAGTAGAGTGAATAGTCAGACATAGCCATTATCAACTTATAGCCAGTTCAGTTTTATCTATCTCTCTCCTACTTCCCACAGAAGCAAATGCCAGGCACCCCTCCCTTTCATTGTCAGTGTTTCAGTATGTGTTTCTAAGAAGTAAAGGCCTTTTTTTTTCTTTCATATTGCTTCACAGTCTCTCTGTGCAGCTCAAACTCATAGTGTTCCTCCTATATCAGCCTCCCCAGCACTTTGATTATAGGCATGTGCCATCACTCCCGGTTCTGGGGCTGACACAGCATGCAGTACCAGGGATCAAACTCAGATCATTT